AAAATGCAACTTTTATGATAGTCTTTCTGCCCTTAGGGAAGCACCGTCATTGATATGCACTTCATATATCGGCAGCTATGAATATTTTCCACAGACAGAGACTCTCTCTCTCTCCCTTTTTTGAACAATAGCTGACCATCACCCTCATTAGCTACACCCATTCCTTACTTAGCAACCATCTCATAGTCCCACATCGCCCTTATGACAATAGTAGAAAATCTACTACATTGCTGATATGTGTCTGCTAGCTACAAACACAGAGTTGCAAGGAGAGAGTAACTCTGGCCATGATGGCTAACGTGAAGTGGCAAATTGCTGGGCCATGATCTTCTGTGGTTTGACAGGTATTTAAGCATGTTATTTGGCAGTCATGTACTGATGTGACCATCCTCCACTTTGTGATCTGTTGTGTCCATTCGCCATTTTCACCAAATGCTGTTTTTGTGTGCAAGGACTAGGTCTTGGGAACGCAACCAAAGCGATGGGTAGAGAATGCTTGCAGCTTGCCTATGTCCTCACCTGGAGTGGTTTATGTCTTTGCCTTGTCTTTATTGATGTCAATCCAGCAGGACACCTTTCCCCATGTCCATAAGGTAGACTCCTTCATTAATGGACTACAAAAATACAGGAACTTACAGCTTTCTTGCATGCATAATTGACCTCTTCCTCTTACCAATTTCCTCCTCACAGTGTAGTTCTCAAGGTCAAAATCACTTTTATTGATTTCAAGATGTGAATTTGCCCCTTTGTTTCCTACTTCATTCATTCTTTTAAAAACCCAGGCTCAAAACAGTTATTGGCTTTTGATTAGAATTAAGTGGGAGCCTCGGATTCATTTGCTTGTCCATGGGATATGCACAATTCTGGTTTATTTGGGGGGCCAGAATACATCAAATTAAAACCCCATAATACCAACAACATCAATAATAGCAACAAGCCAATCAGCAAACCAAAAGGAAAAGAAAGAAACCAAGCTAAAGGCAGGAAAAGAAAAACTCACAGAAACAAAAAAGTACATTGTCCGTCATCCCACTGGGGTATTAGGCGATTGCACTGATAATATCATCAGTTTTTCCAATGACACAGTACTCTAGACAATGTCAGAATTAGAAGTCTAAGCGAGTACATTTCCACCCGGAGCCACAGTCCTTGAGTTGTTGCTTTACATAGTTAGATCTCCCCTTTGATTGCGCTGTTTACCCTATGGATGGGGATGGGTGCCATGGGGACCTTCCTGTATCAATTCTTCCAAGTGCAGAACCCTGCCCAGCAGACTGAAAGCTGCCATGTCCCTGTGAGCTGGGCACTGGGGTGCTAAATATATGGGGATTCTGGGTCCCTTTCCATTGGACACACTCCGAACCTTGGGTTCCTCCGAAGGTCCAATGACTGCCAAGAAGCACTCTCTGAGGATCAAAGAATACAGCCTTCAGTGTGGATTCCAATTCAATGTAATGAAAATAAAAATCCTCATCATTGGACTGTGAGGTTAATTTGGGGACAGAAAGAAAGCAAAGGTAGAAAACAGTTTCAAGTGTTTATTTTAGACTTCCGGGAGGGAAGAGAGAGCAGACAAAGGGACAGGAGCATCCTGAGCTCCTGGATGAGGTTCACAGAGGTCCCC